GAAAATGCCGGCTGGCATTTCAAATAGGAACATCAGATTAAGGAGAAAAGAGGTAATGAGGTGCAAGGAGAAAATCCTTCCCTGGGGAACAAATCAAACCTGATATCATCACGAAGGGTAATGAGAAATGCATTACCGAACTGAGGAGGTTCACCCCAGCTGCCGAGAGGAAGCGAAACCGTATATTCCTATTTAAAACCCCAGCGAGGGGATGCTAATGTTTTGGTCTGCTGGTTAAGGCAGGGGACGCGCAGCTTGCACACCTGCCTTTTGCATGTAGTTTTGCCACACGTTTCCTGAGTCCTCGGGCAAGTCATTTCACTTCTCTGTGACATAAGGTATATCTATATAGATGTATGCAAGTCAGTGCAAATAGAGTGTGCCTGTACACCCACATAGCAGGTTCTGAAGCTATGACTGTATCTACGCTGTTAAATAACACAGGGTTAAGTGGCACAGACTAGTCCTGTCCACACTACACAGAATTTGGCTGGCCTTTTCTTTTTTGGTCTCATGAGATGCCTCTGTGGCCCTAAGGTAATACTTTTCTTGGTTTTTGTCTTTTCCCCAGTTCACAGTATCTTTAATAATATGATGCCTTATGGCAGACCATCACAGCAGTATTTTTGTAGCATCAGTCTGAGGATTTGTGTTGCATATTCTGGCATGTGGCAGGAAAGCCTGTGTCTGTGTCTGGAGGAGCAAAACCAGTTTTGTTGGTGGAGGAGGACTGCCCAGGGTGGAAGGAGACAGACTTGTACTCTTCTGTCTTTACTGCCCATGGGAGTCATAGAATCGTTTAGGTTGGAAAAGACCTTCAAGATCATCCAGTCCAACCATTAACCCAACATTACCAAGTCCACGCTAAACCAAATAAGGGTAGACTAGACTAATCCTGTCCCCTGGAGCAGGCGTGGGTGTCTCTCAGACCAGCAGTGCCAGGCAGTGTGCTGACAATTAAACAGTACTGACCATCCGTGATCCTGTAAATCAATTTGTTTTCTGGCCCTGCTGTATTTAGCAGTATAAATGAAACCTGTGTGGCCATGTCAGCATGGCTGTATGCCCACATTGATATATGAGTCAGAGTATATTATTTCACGCACAGTGCCACACAGTTGAAGGAGCTGTGGCCACAAGAGCTCATGTGATAGATACAGCAAGTATTATGTGACTGTCATCATAACTGCCAACCTTACTGGGATACCCAGTAGCTTAATTAAAGTTTATAACAAGCATTGATATTCTCTACGTAGAAGCCCTGGGCTGGAGTTGCTTGAGTGTTTTCAGCCTCTTAGCAATTTGCAGACCGCATGCAAGTATTCTGGGAGAAGCACGGATTACCTGTAGCAAATGCCCTCTCGACTGTGGGTGTGGTTTTCTTGGTTTTCTTTCCTGGGCTCCTGGACCCTCAGGGATCCAAGAGCCAACAGTTAATGACTAGGGACACATGGGGGACACTGGACATTACAAGGAAAGGGATAGAAGTAGGTGGAGATCATGAGACCTCTCTTAGACCGTTTTACAAGGCACTGAAAACTGATGTGGTATTTGATGCCCAAGTACTTGCTTTGTCTTCTGAGGGACGAGGATGCCATTTCACGCAGCGGTCAGTGGGAGCAAGGGGAGTAGGATGTGAGAACAGAGCAAGCCTTCAGGGCATCCTGAGTGGCAGCCAGTGGTCCTGCAGGGCTGGAAGGGCCTGGGAGCATGAGGGCCCTGTGCCAAGAGGGGTAAGATGTTCCTACCCTCACCTGCCATCCTGTTGATGTACTCTCATTGCTGATAGTAATCTTATGTGTCTGCAATCTTGGTCTCATCGGTGTCTGCAATCTTGGTCTCATCTGTGTGTCACCTCTCATCCTGTGACAGCTCTTCCCCCGCGCTGCCGCAGGCACCTCAAGAGGTTTTGTTGCTCCCCAAGTTATGTGGCAGGGAAGCATTTTCTCCATGCAGCTCTCTGCCATTCATTCTAGATCCCAGGGTAGGAGTCGGGGCTAATGCTGCTTGAACTGCCTTTGGGCTCCTTACAGGGTAGCTGTGTCATTCTTCTGCCGAAAGTCTTGCTTGGCATTTTACTTCAATCTTCTGCGGTGTGAGTTGCATGGATATCAGACAGCGTGTTGTGAGTTGGAGCAAAGGCATTTGGTATTGCAGTGCTCCAGTGGAAGAAAAATATAAGGGTAACTGTTAGAGTATTTACAGCATAATTTTTCATACTGAGATTTGCACAAGCTTGTTTGAGTTATTCGGCATAAAAAATCCATGATTATAGAGGAGCTGACTCATTAAAACAGTCTCTGTTTCTCCAGAGAACCCAGAAGAAAACACAGTGCTTTAATACATCTAAATTCACTCGAGTGTGCCTAGTGCTATCAGTTAAACCGCATAGAAAATTTCTTTCTTCCCTGCACTGTTCCTGCCAATTCCCTCTTTCCTTAGTGCTTCCCCGACTTGTCTTCTTCCTGTCTGTATTACAAATGTAAGGAGAAATGGCACCTTTTTACTCTGCAGATTTGCCTCTTGTGTGCATTCTTACCTGCCAGCAGTAGCAACTGCAAATGTTTCCTGCTTTTTGCCATGAGAGTCACGTGGAGTGAAAACTGCTAAAAAGAAGCATAAGGCAGAGTGTGTTTCTGTGCATCCTTAGTGTTTGGTTTCTGGGCCACCTGAATACCTATGCAAAGTCGATGTGAGGCAAATTATGGAAAGGATAAGTACCGAGCACAGGAGTAACTCGGGGAGGATTTGACCTGCAGAATCTGTTGCTGACCATGCTAACGGGGAGAACCATCAGCCGGTTTCTAGGTCCTAGTCCATAGGCCTGACAATTGGCAAATACGTATTTTTACTTTCAAACTGAGGAGATGTGACATGGTACGTCCAACATGATGTACATGGTGATATCATAAAAATGGCATCTCTTTTCAGGTGCGACCATACTTCTGCCCTCGTGCCTCTTTTCCTCTTTGTTTGCCATTTGCCATTTGTCTGTCCTATGAGTCAAAAGTTCACTGCAGTGTGGTAAACACTCAGACTCCTTTTTATTTCAACCAGTAATATTCTGTGGTCTGCCCTTTGGCTAATTCCCTCCTCTTACTACCCTGACCTCTTTAAAAAAAGCCATGCTTCTTAACTGTATGATGCTGGATTTGCAAGATTGATCTTGTCTAAGCATTTCACACTGCATTGCCTTGCATATTTTTTATCTATGTTCTAATTAAGTCATCAGGTCATGATGGATGGGTGCTCATGTCAGTGACTCTTCTCTGAACGATGAACAGTGGAAGGAAATCTCCAGGAGCGTGGGGAGATTGTGCAAATGAGTTGGTCTTACGTGAACTTTTAACATGCTTTTCCAGGCTGAGTTCAGAGTTGATATGTGATCTCAGATGGGATTCCCTGGAAGCTGAAAAACTGCTTAGCTCTGGCTCTTCCAGCACATGCTCCCACACATCTCCTTGAACATTGGGCATCATTCCTCAGCTAGATGTAGTGAGAGCAGCTCAATCTAAAATGGCAGGAGAGAGTAGGTTTAGACATAGGAAAAGTGGAAAAAAAACCTGACACATCCTAGCCCTGGTAAAGGAGCAGAAGCTAGTTATAGAAAAGCTGCTCAAGGGTAAGTACTGTTCCTGTAAGAAGGAAGAAGCAGTGGACTGAGACGCAGTATTTGCTTTCTTTCCAGACTTGTGTCAGCTGTGTTTTAGTCTGCGCTGGCTTTCCGCTACCTTTCCTGCCCTTCTCTCCTTAAGTGTCTGTCTGCTGCAGCAGCACGTAATGAAAGACTTTCTTTGCATTGTGAAACTAGTAAGTGGGATGTTCCTGGGTTCAGTGGTCAGTTCCAGGCCAGCCAAGCTCATTTCTTTAGAGGATGTCCTTGCAAGACTTCTCACACTAAACGAACAAGCCTTGCATAAGTAATGGGAATCTGCACACTGGCTGCCTCCATGCCTGGTGGTTGCTCAGCATGGCAGCTGGTTTCTTTTGCCTACCTGGCAGTGATGGGAATCAACTCCTGGAACAAGTGGGCAGCCGAGTGTAAATTGTAGCTGGCTACCTGGCATGATGCCGATCCACATCCATTCACAGAGTAGGAACAAAGCAAGAAAAAAGGGCTTAGCTGATCTTGCCGTTTTATCAGGAGCTTGTTGGTTGGGTTTTTTGTCAGGGTTTCACCAGCTGGTCGGGTCTGTTTTGTCCAGATGATTGGCAGCTTATGCAGCTTCTTTCAGTTTTTTAACTGATTTTGAGTTCCAATCAAGTGCAATCTCAGAAGAGTCTTGGGGAGCCCATACGTCCCTCCAGAAGGAGGGATATTCAGGGCAGGCAAGCAGAATGCTTGTGTGTGCTGCTGGAGCAACACTGAAAATTGCTGGAGGTTCAGGAAGAAAGTTCTTTGGGAGAAGAGGAACCTGACATCACAAAGAGACAAGCATTGAAATCTTGATCTTGATATAAGAGGGCAAATACCCACTTTCAGAATATATTGTATTCAAGGCTCTTTGGTTTTGGAAGGTTGAGTGAAAGTTCGTGACATCTTACAGTTGTGTCAAGAAGATGCTACCTCTCTCTCTTACGAGTCTTCTCATTCTTTTTTCCTTTTCTATTTTTGTGTCTGATGTTGAAGTTCGTTTGATTTTCTGATTCCTCCTGTGTTTAATTTCCCTGAGTTCAGTCTCTGCCTGGATTTAGAGTCATAATCATTAGTATTTGGAAGTGTGGGGTTAAAATGATAAAATAAATTTGTTATAATGTAGGTTTTTTTCGTTCTAGCTTTTCAAGGTCTAATTATTTTGCAGCTGATCTAGTATGCAATTGATAAGATGAAAATGTAAATTTACAGGTTTAGTATTCAAAGCATTTTTCATCTGATCAAAGAGAGGGAAGAATTTTGCAAAACACAAAAGTTTTTGCAAATGTCTGAAGTTATGTGAATGTAGTCAAGCCATCAGGAAATCCACAGTGCATCCACTAATGTTTATTTCATTTTTCTACAGGAGGTCTTGACCTTATCTTCATGCCAGGCCTTGGGTTTGACAAAAAAGGCAACAGATTGGGAAGAGGGAAAGGATATTATGATACCTATCTTGAAAGATGTATGAAACATCCCAGTGGAAAGCCTTACACGATTGCCTTGGCTTTTAGGGAACAGATTTGTGAATCAGTGCCTGTGGCAGAAAATGATGTCCAAGTAGATGAAATCCTTTATGAAGACTGCTGAAAGAATCTTGATACCAACCCACCTTCAGAGTGACCAACCAAAGACATCAGATCCATCAATCATGACTTTTTAATAGTCATATATGACTTTGGGAGCAATAAAATACACTATTTGTGTTTGAACAAAAAAAACCTCAGTGTAAATGTAGTAATAGTAATGAGGATTGCATTGATTTGCTTCTAATTAGCAAATATCTGGTAAGAATTCTTATTGTAGAATCAATAGAAACAAGAATATGTGACTGTTTATTACAATAAGGAACATTTCTTCTCATACTTTTGAGGAACAGGCTACTTGATACTTAACAGTTTTATTATTCCAGTTTAAAAGTGTACTGTCTACTAATGAGTTCTTGATCCATTCTGGAATTAGATACTTGTTATGGGGAAAGTTACTAGTATTTAAATATTATGTGCATCCATGAGCAAAACAAGAAACTGCCAAGTAAGTCCTACAGTAAGCTGGGCAAAAAATGGTGATTGGAAAAAAGCCTTAATTGATTTTAGTGTATACAATAATTTTGACTGTTTACGTAGCTCCTTGAAGTTGTCTCCAAATAAAGGGAGCATCTGTTAATAAAAAAAGGTTCATGTCCGTAGCTTTGGAATATGGTTCTTCCTTTGTCTGAATACAAGATTGTAATGTAGTCCAAGATGCCGTGAGTTCTCCGTCTGGAGAAAACCAGCTCTTTTTTGTAAAATAATATTCAAAATTACTTTAAGTTCTATAATTTTGTACACAGACCATTTATAATGACCAGCCGGGTTAGCTCAGTTGGTTAGAGCATGGTGCTAATAATGTCCCAAAATATTGTGTGAAGTATAGGTACTATGTTAAAGGATAAAGAGATGCTAAGAATTGCAACGAGCAGATTTTATGGATTGAGTAAGTTTTGGGGTGGAAGGTTGTTTGTTCTCCAGTTGTCCAGACCATCCTGAAAATCAGGAAGAAGAGAGTGAATTTTCCTCTGAAAAAACTCACTATCCAGAGATAGCGAGCTTTCCTTTGCCCACTGTCCTCATAGTAATACGACACAGCATTTACAGTCAGGTTCAATCAAACTGCCAAAATTTTGTGTTCCTTCTTCAATTCAACTTCACTTTTTCTATACATGTTTAACTCCTCCCTCAAGCAATAAATCAGTGCATTTATTTTCACCAAACTACTCTGTATCGTTAAAAAATCCATGAATTCTCAAGGACCAGCTGTGGAGCAGAATGACCTTAAGACTTCCTCAGCGATAACTGTTTTTGTGAACAAAACCATGCCTACATTACATACGAGCCTTTTCATCTCAGAATGCTTGTATTCAGTTTTATTTCCATTTTGCTGATACAGTAGCTAATTAAACCCTCTTGCTGTGGGGTGAACATAAGCTTAGCAACTCAGGTCTCTCTGGCCTGTGCTCCCTGGTGCTTCTCCATCCTGTGTTAACAAAGGTCCATCTGGCTAGGGTGAAGATACCTTCAGTATTGGCCTGCTGGGCTTCCCATCGGTGTGTACAGAAAAGCTGCAACCTGAACAAGACAGCTGGTAGCAGTTTGCAATATGGCCTATTTAGTAAAATGATGGTGATCAGACTTGGCCTTCCATCAGTTCTTTATCAAACTGTTTCACTCCACCAAATGAAAGATGCAGAGTAAGATGCGTGCATTATCACACAGGGTTGTGCAAGCAGAAGTTGAGATGACGGTATGGGTGCTGGTGCAGGTGGCGGAGCGTCCTCCAGCTCCTCTCAGCTCTGCAGTGCTGCCAGCGGTACTGCCTTACAGGAGGGAGGGAGACTTCAGATTCAAGACCTTTGGGGAATAAATATGATGAGAAAATTGGACTAGTTTTTTTCACAACGTCTGTCCTGGCAGTATTTTAATCCCTTCTTCATTTCTGAACTTCTGTTAGCATATGGAGAGCAACAAAAAAAAAGGTGGGGCAGGCTTTGCGTGTAGCAGACCTATTTCTAGGTTTTTCTGCAAGGCTGTTTGAGTTCACCTATCACATTAGGCTCAGCACTGTGCCATATGGCACGGCCTGCCATGGACATCAACAAAGCTGCGCTGAAGCCAGTATTTTTCACAGTGGAAACCTGGATCCCAAGTCTGTTTTAAATCTGTATATTAAGTCCAGTCCCATTCAACAAGCTATCTGCTTCCACCCCACCAAAACCAGAGGGTGCTTTTAGTGGTGTCCTACCTCAAGATTTAACCATGGTGTTTTACCTGGGATCCAGAGACATGTTTACATGTTTTTGGTTAGTGTGACACTAAGCCTGACTGCATGAGTGTCGCTCCAGTTCTACTTTGGGCATAAAATTAAGAGGCCATGTCAGCATAAAAGGACATAATCAGAGGCTAATGACCTCTTGCTGCTACGTCCAAGCTGAAGGGAAGCCATCATGTTTTATTTTAAAGCTGAACACTATTTTTTTGAGCTGTGTTTTATTGGCATGCCTTGTGCCACCTAAATTAAGTGGCTACCGTGAAAGCAAACTTTTTACCCAAAACCTCTGCACCTTGTGGCTTTGCTTTTCTGAGGCATTCTTTATATAAGAGGAGCTTTTTATTATTACTATTTGCCCAGTTAGAGAAGAGTTTATTCACAAAACTTTATAGCCCTTCTGGATTAGCTTTTGATCTTGCTGTCTGAGCTTTGATTTATTCACTAGAATAAGGGCTAACTTGACTCATATGTATTTCACTACAGGTGATACCAGGTGAACAACTGTGTACAAAAAGGCCAGCATATGGTGAAGAGACTTCAGGGCCAGCAGTAACAACTGCACAGAAACAAAGTGCTTGGAGAGAGCCGAGGGCTTGGTCATATGTTCTGTTGTGTGGGAGTTCAGAATAGGGGGGGGGGGAAGTAAAAAGCAAGAGTTTGGATGCAAAATACAGGCCTCCATCCAGCACAGCCACAGATACGTGCCAAGCTTTGTCCTCGTGGGCTCTCTGGAGTTGCTGGAACTAATTGGTATAGGAAAAGCAAGCAAGCTTTGAAGGCTTTTGGGGCTTGAGGCAATGATTGTCCCCAAACTTCGTATCTCGCAGATGACATTTCAATACATTGTGGAGCCGTTCTCTCCCGCTTTCACTCCAGACTGCCCTTTTGGCTACAGCTGCAGCGGGAAGGGATGAGGAAACTATTTACTCTATCACTGGGAACAAGAGGAGCTGGCGCTTTGTTTCTTGCCAGCCTCTCTTGGGTCAGGAGGAGATCATCAAAGGCTCATCGGCCAGGCTGGGGGAGCTGCAGGACCCTGGCTAATGCAGATAGCTCTTAACATTTGGGTGGTGGGGATAATAAAACAATATTTATGTATATTGTCTTGAGAATCACAGAGCTAAATAAATACGACAGCTTTCATTTGACATCCCAAACCTTGCTGCTGTCGCTCAGGGTTTTTCTTTTTGCCACATAACATGAAATCTCTGTCAGTTTGATAGTATATAGCTGTGTTTCTGAAGCACAAAGGTTAGGGGGTTGGTAGGTGCGTCAGAATTATTTACGTTTGCTATGCATAAAATGGCACTTGGGGAGCAAGGCAGGCTGCCAAGAAGGAGAGGAATCAGGGCTAGCTGGTTGCTCTCTTGTATCTCTCCATGCTGGATTGTCAGGGTAGGATTTATAAAAATTGCTTCAAAACAGTATCATCTTTCCTCAAATGGACGTGCCCCCATCTGTTGCAGTGAATGCCATTATTGCTATTCTCATGACAAAGCGTCTATCAGTCTCTACTTTGTTTATAAACAAATCTGCCTGCCCTGCATAAGAAGTGGATAGGCTAAGGAAAAATGCCATTACCAAAGGAATAAGTTAATTACATTTCAGGATCTCAGCAGGGAACGCTATCTCGGAGTATTCAGTAAGATCTGACCAGTGGAGTTATAATTAAAAAATGTCCCCAGGGAGGAACTTGTAAATTATTTACTGTAAGGGGCTTTTCCAGGCTCTTTTAGTTTAATTACACACTCTGAAAAAGAAGGGCCTCAGAATCAAATTAACTAAGAGATTGAAATGGCTTTGTTAAAATCATGTTCATGGCTAAGCAAGTGGAAGACTGTGAGCAAGGTTCAAATATAGGACAAATCTGTGGTAGCTGGCATTACTCATGGTTTAAAAATCATATGGAAAGCACCAGAATGTCCGTCCATAGAAAATGCAATCACTGGTTTTGTCCAGTATTCCCACTGGCCTCGGAAGACTTTGCATGTAGTCCAGATCTGACAGTGCCTCATGTTCTCACGGCCGTTTGCTTTGTGGGGAGAGGAGCTGACTTTTGTGGGCTTTTTGATAGGGTACAGATGAAGTCCTAGCAGAGGGAGACAAAAGACTAGACATGATGGAGAAGCAGAACAAAAGGATGCTGAGATGGTATGAGTTTTCCATCGCTCTCACACCGCTGATGTCATTTTAGCCCAAAACATCCTGGTTAACCCTCAGCAGAAGGTGGACTGAATGTGGCCCTTGGTGCCAAGAGACATGCACCCGTGCTGTTAGCAGTTGTGTCCTTTTGAAATGCATGGGTAAAACGTGACTTGCTTGCCCTCCCACGTGAAACATGGCTTAAGCATCTGCTGCTGAAGTTGGCCCCTGGAGCTGGCCCTTGCTGGAAGGCAGCTGGTGTGATCTCTGGTCAGATGCGGAGAATGGAAGTCGAGAGGCCAGTGCTCTCCCCTCATCTCAACCACTGACTCATTGCTTGGCAGAGAGGGAGGCATTATCTAGTATCTGTTTGCTAAGGAGTAAGGCAGCCAGTAATACTATATCTGCGTGCCTGTTGATGCCAAATTTTATGTATGTAATGGCCTTTCAGCTGCCGTTGTCCTTGCTTTTATTTCTTTCTGAAAAAACCCACATCTGCTGTGGCACCCTTACCAAAGTGCCAGCTGGCTGAGCAGAGCAGCCAGCCAGGCACGGCTGCTGGTGCATATGTACTTGTTAGCCCATATACATGCATACAGCATTTCTCTTTTCCTCGAGTCTCCTTTTTTCTTTCAAATTTATTGCGCTTACATGTCTTGCTTAGATAGAAACCGCCCCAGAGTTAACAGTCTCTCTACCCCCTGTGTGTGTACAGTCTTCAATACAAGCCATTTGATTATAGCCTGAGGGTACCGTTATCATGTCCTAAACAGTAAGTTCTCCACCTTCAGGCAAACTAGCAGAAAATCCGCAGATGAAAGCTGCTTTAGTCATTCATCAGGCAGATGAGATCTCTGCTTTTATTTTGTTATAGTGTAAATCTGCTGCTTAGTTTTCTAGTCTCTCTGAAAACTACTGAATCATAAAAATGCTTGTAGCAAATGCCAACTTGTCTGTCACCAGAATAATACATTAAATGGCTTA